CAGCAGCAAGGGAGCCGAACACCCCATGGCTGGTGAGGCGCCCGGAGGTCCAGGGCGGGATGGCGGCTTCGTGCCCGGAGGTCCGGGGCGGGATGGTGGCTTCGTGCCTTCCCGACCCAGCGCAGCCGCCCGCAGCACTGCGGGCTCTGCCGAAGAAGCCAAAGATGTGGCAGGAATGGCTGCTGCGGGGCTGGGGACTGTGGGCGAGGCGGGAGCTGGGCAGAGCTCTCTGCAGAAGCAAGTCCTGGGGGCTTCGTGCTCCGGGAGAGGTGGGCCCCGGGGGCGTGTGGCCCCGCGCCCGGAGGGGTGGCGTCCGGCAGCAGCGCAGTGGATCCGTGCCTGGCAACACCGGGTACCGCTGCGGGGAGCCTTCCCTTCCCTTGTTCGGGGGTCTGGGGCTGGGAGAGCACCGCCAGCTCAGGGGCCAGTGACTCGCCGAAAACAAGGGGTGTGGAAGAGGTTCAGAGGAAATCCATGGGACGGCTGGGGGAGCTGGACGCCCGGTGAGCCCATTCCCTGCAGCTCTGAGGAGACCAAAGGGTGAGCTGCTCACAGTTTGCCTGTGCTTTTCTTGGGGAAGAGGAATTTGAGTTCCTTGATGGAGCAGAAAAAGGTGTAACAAGATCTAGTGGCTCTACGAAGATGTCGGGTGAATCACAACTTGGAGTAAGGTGCAAAGTCCGAGCACTGCCATTAACTGTTCATGAAATATTTTAATGTAGATTGGGATGGATGTTTCTGGAGCTCCCCAGGCACTTCTGAAATGAATTCTGGATGCTTTTCTGCTCTGGGACGTCCTCTACCCCATGTTAGGTTGGAGGTCACACTAAATGCAGTAGAACTGATTGCTTTGGACTTCAGTAATCCATTTGCTACAGTGCCACATGGTGAGTTATTAGTTAAGACGGAGATAAGTACAGGAATTATAAGAGATTAGTAGCGGAGTTCCCCAGCGGCTGGTCCCGGGCCCAGTTTTCATTAATGATCTTGGCACGCTGAAATGGATGTGCTAATGAAATTGGCTGCTTAGCCAAAGTTGGGAGGCATTGTCAATACAGGGAAGGACTAGGATATCCTATAGGAGCAGGTAGGCAATTTTGATGGCTGAGACAGTAGATATGGGATGAAATGCAATAGTACAAAATATACGGTTATGTTGTTAATGGCTGAGAGCAGACTTTTCTGTTACGAGTTGACAGTGGGGACTTACTGCTTGGAAATAATAGCAGAGAAGAAGGATGTAGGTCTGGTGCCAGTTCCAGTACTGGGCCGCTCACTTTCTGCTCTGGCCATTGCTCTCTCTGGGTTGAGAAGAGGTGGGGAAGCTCCGTGGCTTGACGTGCGCTGGAACTGCCGCTGGTGGCTGCGAGCAGCAGTCGCTAGCATGTTGCACATCTTGGACACGCCGCAATCCAGCTGGGCTGAGGGAGAGCCCGATGGGGCTACTGAATGTGTGAGTATCATAGGAAATATTTCACACTTGGCAACCCTGACTGGGGTTTGACAGTGTGAGCTGGGGCTGATGTAACCCGAAAAGCGTCTGTTCTCATGGAGATCAAGACAGGCAAGTGCATGGGCCTTTTCTGCCTATCAAAGCCCCTTCCAGAAGGAGGAACCTCTTGTTTGAAGCTTTGCAATGGTTAGGAGATTTTGTCCTGGAACCCGCGCAAATAAAAGAATATTTGCAGTTGTCTCCCTCCTCCAAAACCCCTTAGAGACGGGGTAAATACTTTGAGGTGCATGGAGAAAAAAAAATTGCAGAAAAATCAAAGGTGAGGTGCTTGGAGCTGCCAGTGTGCTGCTAGCGCGGAGCAGGCTACGGCAGCAGTCTTCGCCAAGCGCTTTGCTTCCCAGTGGAAGCTTAATGTTTTCAATGAATTGGCCCATGTCAAAATCGGGAGTCTGGCTGGCTGCCTGACGTGAGGACTGGGTGAGGAAGAAAAGCGCAGTGCTGTGTCACTGGTTGCTACTGGAATTGCCCTGCATCCCATAAATCCTGTTGCTGCCAGAGAGCTGCTTAACAAAACCTTTGGCCGCCCTGAATAAGGTGGTCATTGTTCTCTCCCACAGCAGCGCTACCATGTGGGCTTTCCACCATAGCTGTACCTTTAACTACGCGTGTGTGCCCTTGCTCTAAAGGTGGTCTACGACCAGAAGCATGTGGGAGTGCTCAAGTGTGATTGCTTTCCCAGACTCTCCCGGCTTTCTCTTGGGTAGAAGGAAGACCAGACACAAGCTCTATTCATAGGCTCAGTCGAGGAGTAATCAACAGCAAACAGCGCTAGTGGGGGACTCTGTTAATGCTATTCTGCGTGATCGGGTTTGGGTTGAAACCAGATGGAGAGCGTCCATGCTTAGGTGTGAGAACTTGTCCATGAAAGGAATGCTTGCGTAGTCCTTACTTGCTGTTCAGACGAGAAGGGGTGGCAGCAGTGTGATTTATAGCGAGCACAAAACTGAACAAGTGAGGCAGATCGAGAGCTGAGAATACACCTGGAAGGGTACACTGGGAAAGAGAAACCCTGGCACCACAGACCTGACGCGGACAGGCAGCAAGCACAGAAAATGGCTTTAGACAGCCACAGCAGCACCAGACGTTCGTCCTGTTAACCATCTCCTTCTCGGTGGAGTGGGGCTGCTCTAGGCCAGGATCAAATGCTGCCTGCGGTGTCACCAGTAGGGCAAAGGAGAATGAAGCTGTTCAGAAAAGGTGACCCTGACGTTTAAAGCAAGCAAGATCCATTTTAGCCACAACATGAAATGATGGATGAAGACTCTTTCTCCCCTGTTGCCTTCCCCAAGCAGGCAAAAATGTGTCAGGGTGGGTGACAAAGCCTGTTCTGATGAGTGGAGGAGTCCAGAGGGACTCAAGGACAGATTTTAGGTTTCATTCTTTCTGCACGGCTGCTCTTCTTTCTCATCGAGAATCTCTGAAGTCGGAAGTCAAAGTTCTGAGGCAAGGCTTGATTCCTCAAGTGCTTAAATGTTTTCTCTCCCGCACATGGACCCCACCCTCCTTCAGTTGGCCTGAGACTCCCATCGCTGGGGTGGGCAGCAAGCAGCACAGCGCGTCTTTGGGAGAGCCGGGATGGCTAGCGGGGTGGTGTCTGGGGTGGACACCCGGGGGAATCGTGAGGAGGGGCTTGAGGGGGTCAGTTCCAGACAAGTGAACCCATGGGTCCTGCTGCTTCGTGATCCGTCTGTCCAGGGTGGCACCCTGTACTGTTCCTACCCTGCCTCCGGTCGGAACACCCCGCCAGCTGCCTGTTTGGGGCCACAGCTGGCAATGCATCCCTACCCAAGGATTCCCGCCCCAGGGATGCCCTCCTGCTTTAGCAGATGTTGCTCTGGACGCTATCACGTTCCTCTTAGGATGCTCTTTTTCTGATCAAGGTCAGTTGTAAGTGTACGCTTGTAGTCGGGCATCCTGCAGCAGCTACTGCAACCTGGGGGCTACAGTCCCCTCCGTCCCCCAGTATCTGCGTAGCTGCATGGTTGCGGCAGCTCTTTGGAGGAGTGGATGGGAAGTGGGAAATCCAGGGCCATATTCCCATGGCCCTGGTGGTGAAGCATGGGGCTAGGTGAAAACTGCCCTCTCTACCTTGTGAATACTTGAATCTGTAATTAAAAGAGAAGAACAAAGTATCTGGAAGATCATAATTTCATAGAGCCTAACCAGGCTGGCTTCAAAAAAGGAAAATCACGTCTCACTTATTGAATTCCTTGAACATGTCAAGGTTTGTAAAGGGAGATAATATCTTTTATTAGACCAATTGATATAGCTGGAAAAAACAGACAAGCTTTCAGGCACAGAAACACTTCTTGTATGGTTTTTTCCAGCTATATCAGTTGGTCTAATAAAAAGTTATTACCTCTGCCCACAAATCTTATTTCACTTAATCCTTAGATCATCGCAGTCACAGCACAACTACTTGAAAATGTCAGTAAGGGATGGAAAAAAGGAGAGTTATTTGACACAATTTATTTAGACTTCTTAAAGTTCTTCAGCCAGACCATGAGCTTCTACTAAAGCTAAGCAGGTATGGAGTGAGATCTGGTGCCTTTAGTAAAAGGTGTTCCTGGAAGGCTTAAAACTTCAGGGTTACACAGTCAATTTTTATCATGGCAAAGTGTTACCAGCATAGTTTGTGGTGTGGTACAGTTCTCGACTCTAGCAGCAGAAGAAATGCACGACAACTACTTAGGCTAATGAGGATGGGTGAAGATTGTGAGGAATGTCAGAGATACCAGAAAAATATAGGCAAATGGACAAAGCACTGGAGAACCAAATGTTTATTTAACATGTGGAGCTAAAACTAGATCTATTTACAATAAATCTATACATCTGTCCGGTCAAGAAAGGGACCAGGGGTCGTTTTATGCAGCTCAGTAGAAATCTCTGCACAACTTATGCTCGAGAGGTAATGATCATTGCGCTTGTATTTGATCCTTGGGACTGCCTCCAGCGAGCGCTCTGGGGACCGGCTGCCCCGTCTGGAAAGTCGCGTTGGAGAGCCGGAGGAATTGGGAAGAGCATCAGAAGCCATCAGGAGACTTGGCAAAACCTTCTGTGAGGAGACAGATCTACAAGGCTGGGATTATCTGCCGCAGTGGGAACTTAAAAAGCGTATACCGTAAAGAGCTGGAGAAGAGAGTGGCAGGGGGGGTTTTTTCTTCCACCCCTACCCTGCCACTGCTGCATGTGGAGTTAAAAACTGATAAACGAGTACTTAACGTGATGTGTTGTGCTGAGAAATTGCAGCACCGCTGGCACCGTTAGCCAGGCCCAGCTTTTCAGACTGCTGATGGGGCTGGGTATTTATATGGCTACGGAGTACCCAGCGCCGCTGCCGGCTGTTGGGGGGGGGAGGGCCCGGCCTGC